ATGGCCCATGGACAGGTATGGCCCGTGGTCAGGTATGGCCCATGGACAGGCATGGCCCATGGACAGGTATGGCCCATGGACAGGCATGGCCCATGGACAGGCTTGGCCTATGGTCAGGCATGGACTGTGATCAGGCATCAGCAGGCCAGCCAGTCCCACGCCCTGCAGACATTGGGTTCTTTACCTGTGGATGGTCTGCCCTGCAGGCGTGTGTTCCACCTCCAGCCCTGCCTGCCGAAGGACGTCAATGACTGTATTGTTCCCCAGAAAGTGACCTGGAACACAAGAGACAAAGTGGGCTTAGCCCAATGCCAGGACACCAGCAACTAGGGACAGCCTGAGGCCAGTGACCTACACCAAAGTTGAGGCCCCAGATTCCCTGAGAGGCAGGATGATGTAGCGGGAAGATTTCCTGGGGCCACCCTGCCTGAGTCCAAATCCTGGCTCTGTTGCTCACTGGTTGCTGTCCTGAGCCTCAGTTTCCCCACCTGTAAAGTGTGAATGATTTCAACAGCAACCTCCAGGGCAGCTGTGAGGACTATGGGAACAGTGGCTGACACACAGTGAAGGCTGAGTGTTTTCTGTGGCATTTCTGTGCCCCAGCCCTGGACTGCCCAGGTACAGACAGCCTTCAGCACTCCATTAGTGGGGGGTACCTTTAGGATGCACTTGCTCTGTGGTCAGCCCTGGGAGAGACACTGAGAGTATAGGTACAAATCATTTAGCCCCCAGCCCCAGATGAGCGCTGGCATTGTTTTCCTTCGGAGGGATGCAAGCTTGAGGTCTGAGGACACAGTGATGGCTCCCAGCTAGAAAGGTCCAAAAGAATCCTCAGGAGGCCAAGTGACTGTGGGGACAGTAACTGCTGGGAGTCAGCACTCTAGCGAGCCCCTCCTGTTCCCTGGGCCTCAGTCCCTCCATCTGGTCAGTGTGGACAGAGTGGCAGTGCCCCCTGGCACCCTCCTTACCTGTGTGCCTGCCCTGTGGCCCATTCCCATGGGCAGTTCCCTTCTGCTCACCATTTATCCCAGAACCTGGGGGAAATCCCTGTACTGCTATTCTAATTGCCTGTGACGGGTGGTGACAGGTGGGAAGTTGGAAGGTCAGGATGTTGACAGCCCCCGGGAGGTCTGAGAACAGAGAGTGGACAGGCTGTCGGGGAATGGAGAGGTTCCGGCATAGAGGAAGCCAGGCTGGGACTGTACAGTGGCTGGAGCAGAGGGTGAAGCCCGCAGCCCTCTGCCAGCCAGCCCTGCACACCCCAGGCTGGCTTCACCAATCCCCAGCAGGTCCCCCGCCCAGCAGTCTTTCTCTTGCCGGCCTGACACAATCCCTGAAATCCACTTCTGGCTTATTGCATAAGATCGTTGGGCTGGGAATGTGAGATGCGTTCTAGTGCAGGACCTACCATGCTCACTCTGAGACTTTTGTCAAATCCATAACACTAAAATGCCCTGTTTCTCTCTGTGTACAGGGACAAACTGTACACAGTTTCTGGCATGGTCCATGGGAAACTGTACACAGTTTCTTTCTGAGTGGGCTGCATGATACCTACAGGTTCCCTTAGCTCTCAGATTCCATGGGGAAGGCTTTGTTTGATTCCGGAGACCCATATGGAAATGTGTTCTCCTTCCCTCTTTCCTTCTCTCCCTATCCATTTCACTCATCTGACAAACACGGAGTGAGTGCAAACCTAGTGCTGGGCAGTGGTGAACAGGTAGGGGTCCAGGCACTCATAGTTTCGAGCACCAGGCTTTTTAGATTCAGAAACTAATTCTACACTGAAGGAAGCACACAGGAAGCATCTAATCTAACTAGATCAGGGTAGACTTCCTCAAGGGGGCATCACTAGCTGAAGGATGGGATAAGAGTTACCTAGGTGAGGATGGAAGAGGGGTGGCACCGAAGGGAGGGTGTTCCAGGTAGGGGGAATGGCATGTGAATAGACTAGGAGATAAGTGAGGCACTTCGGGGAAACCAGCTGTAGAAGACACACAGACACACACGGACAACGCAGGTATGACAGGCCCACTCAGGCTCCAGCGCTGACCCAGTGCTGTTGAGGACAGAAGACCCAGGTTTCTGCCAAGGCTGTGAGTTTCTAGGGATCCTGAGCAAGTGGCTTCTCTGCCCCTGGCTTCAGCTTTCCTGTGTGTCACATGGGCATGCCTCCCTTTGGTCTACAAGTTTGGCAGCTGTAAAACCCTAATGAGGCAGGAGGAGTGAACGTTCCTTGGAAAAGCCCAGCATGCACTGCTGACTGATGGCTAAGCTGGTCCCTGGCTGGGACCATGGAGTCATCCCCACCCTTGCTCGCCTCTGAGCATGACTGGGCTGGAAGGAGGACTGGGTGTGGCAGCCTCAGTGTACAGGCTTGCCAGCAGCTCTTGGAATCCACTCCTGGCAGCAAAGCCAATTCCTTCCCTGCCTCCATGGAGACCCATTTAAAGACGAGGGCTTCTGGGCCCAACAGCGGTCCGCCAAGAGGATTTCAAGAGCTGCCAGGGAAAACGGTCCTCCTCAGGATGCACAGGAGCAGCAGTAAATATTTACTGAAGATCTTGCGGCTGCTCCAAAAGCATTCCTGGAGCTGGCAGAGGGGGCATTTGGAGGAACTAGGCCTTATAGGATGCGGGCTGGATTCTGAGCACTTCCCTGCAATGTTTCAGTGTCTGGTCGGCACCCCATTTATTCTCTTCACCGCAGCTGTGGTTCCAGGCCCTTACTGTGCAGCATAAGACCCTGACCAGAAGACTTTCGATACTTTGAGAAATTGGAAGCAATCAGGAAAGATTTTTTTCCAATTGCCATCTCCCCCTTCTCTAAGCCACACTCACCTTCACCTCCTTCCTTCCAGGCCTGGGAGAACAGTGTCCCTCCTGCCCCTCCCCTGTAAGAGGCTGCTCCTTGAACACCTCCAGGAGGCACCCTTCCCATGCAGGCTGTGCCACAGGACTGTACAGTACAAGCCATTCACTCCCAAGCCCATGTTCCCATCACCCCCAACCCTATCTCCCTCTGTGGGGCTTGGTTTCACAGGACTCCACGACACCATTCTGTCCTGGTTCTGTCTATCCTCTTGGTGGGGTCCTCTTTCTCTTGCCCCCAAAAGGTGGGGAATCCTGGGAACCCTATCTGCAGCCCTCTTTTCTTCTCACTCTACTCACGGTCTGTGGGTAAACTCCACCCATGTGGTGTCAATTACCATACAATGCTGACCACTCTGGAACTGCAGCCCTAGCCCAGACCCATTTGTCCAACTGTTTGTTGGACATCTCCACCTAATATCCCACAGAGCCTACAAAGTCCAACTCAGCCTCCCATCCTAGGATGTACAACTGAGCTCCGCTCTCCAAGTCAGATGGGCCCTGTCTTTACCCTTCCTTCTGCCTCCTCATCCTCATCCAGTCAGTCACCAGAGTCCCTTTGATTTTAACTCCTAACCATGCTTGGCTCTGGTCCAGGTCACCATCACCTTCTGCCGGAATCACTGCAGACACTGTCCTCCTTGTCCTATCCGGTTCACCCTCCTCATTGGAGCAGGAATGACCTTCCCACACCCAAGAGCTGCCTCTGTCAGAGCATGTTCCCACCAAGCAGCTTGAGTGAAGACCGTGAGCTTTTCAAGGCAGAGGTCATGCCTGATTCATTTTTGACCCAGGGCTAAGCCCAACTCTGGCCCATGGTGGTGGCTTCATGATGGTTTGTTGAATGAGTGAGTGACAAAACCTGTGTACTCCACATCCTTTCCATGATCTCATCCTATCCCCAGAAGACCTGAGCTCACGGATCCCCTCCCTTTGTAGCCCCAGCCTGGCCCCCTGGTGAAGCTCCTGCAGATGTCACCAATCCCAGGAGCTTGGCTTTGGACCTGTCCCTGAGTCAGGGCCCAGCGCACGCTGTCCCCTGGGGCTGGCAGACAGGGCTTAGGCTTGCCTCCAAGATCAGAAATCCTGAAGCAGGCGCCACACCCATCCTGGAACCTGCAAGAAGGTATGGAAAGTTTCCAAAGGGGCCCCACGGTATTGGGGCTTAGCCTGCGTGGCTTGCTCAGGCTCCCAGGGTCTCCTGGCCACCGATCAGCAGCTCCTTCCAGCACTGACAGCTGTGCACTGGCCAGCTCTCTGCAGGAAGGCACGTTCCATTTCATCTGCTGAGGCTGCGTGGACGAGGAGAGGAGGAAAGAGAGGGAGGACAGTGGGGGGTGGGGGTGGGGCACACAGAGTCACAGAGACAGAGAGTCGGGGAGACACGCAGGGAGGCAGGGAAAGGAGAGAGATACTCCAGTGGAAACACAGGGAGAGGAAGAGAGCTCCAGAACACACGGAAACAGAGAGGAGAAAGACAGTGGAGAGGAGAGAGGGGCCTGAACACAGGCAATAAGAGATATACAGAGACAGACAATGGTAGGGAGAGACGGAAAGGGAGAGACACCGAGACAGAGAAAGAGACAGAAAGAGACAAGGATGGGGCCAAGAGATACAAACAGAAAAGATGGAGAGAAAGAGTGAAAGAGGAGAGAGGAGAAAGAGAACCCCAAAATGGAAACAAGTGGCATGGTGGAGGAGAGACTAACCCACCGGGGACATCAGGAAAGGCTTCCTGGAGGAGGGGTCCATGTAGCCAGAACGGGTGGGATTCAGACAGAAATGCAGGGGAGATAGTCAGGGGAGGAGCAGGGCCTGGAGGAAGATTATACGTCTTGAGAATGGTGGGGCTGGTATGGTGTCACCTCCCCTGACCCTGCAAGCAGCAGTGCTACTTACAGGGCATTCATATACAAACAGGGAAGGTGTCCTGCTCTGAGTGGGCACTGATCCACCATATTTTAGTGCAGAGAAAAGGGCTTCCCTTCTTTTGGGCACAAGCAGGTCTGTGCCAGGGCGCAGGCTGGACATAGCCCCTACCCATCAGCCGGGCACAGCCCGACAGCCCCAATTTACCCTCTGACGTGGAACAGAGAGAAGAATCCTATCGTGGGGTTACGACAGAAAACCTGGCTCAATAGCCTCCTGGCTGTGTGACCTCAGACAGCTTCCTTGCCTGCTCTGTGCCTCAGCTTCCTCACATGGTTCAGGGAGCTCCCACTCTATGATTCCATCACTTGGTGGCCGGAACACAAATTCCTGGGTACATGAGGCTTCTCCAGTTTTGTTTCATTTCTTCCTCACAGCGGCCTTCAAGGTCCCTTCAGTTTACAGATGAGGGAACTGGAGCTCAGCGAGGAGGCAGGACTTGCCCAGGTCCCAGAGCTGGTAAGAGGCGAAGCCTGGAC